ATTTGTCATTTACAAGTAACGGTACTTAATAGAAAGCTCTCATGTTTTAGAAATCGCCAGAAAGCTCTCACAGGGAAAACATGAAAATTTTGCTCAAAGCAAGTCTCCCGAGGGTTGGAAGATACATTTTTCAATTGAAAGTATGTTCTGGATGCGATTTGTCGGTTCATAAGATAATGTCAACTCCAGTAACGTTTACCATAGCATTTTCATCGAAATCCTATCAATATCAAAATACTTCGATCAGTTTTTGCCATTTTCAGGCAAATTTGAAGAAATTTATGGAGTATGTTCACGGGAAAAACGCTGATAAAGTGGAGAAGCTGTGTTCGGCTGGGTTGGACCCGAACTTTCATAATGCCAACGGGGACAGTCCACTGACGTATGCTGTCGATGTGACGGATAATCGCGCTGTGATTGTGGCTCTGATTGGTGGAGGGGCGCATATTGATTTCAGGAATGCCGAGGGACAGGTTGGAACTTAGCTGATTGACTGCATCTGGCTCACCTTGAGCTATTTTGGGCTCGATAGTATTCTCAAGATTCGTCGAGAAAAATGGACGTGGAATAGCAAACTTCGAATTCATATTCGACTCTTTGAACCTTCAGAAAATCCCTTTTCTGTTGCAATAACTAGCTTCCAATCAGAAAACTGGATTAGGTGAACATGTTCCTTTCTTGTCATCAAACGTTCAGTTGACTGATTCGATTGAATAGTGTAGATGAAATGAGAATCGCTTGTTGTCATTAGTCATTTATGAACGGTCGTTTGGTTAATGTATTATAGAACTTTATTATGCATTAATTCATAAATGTTGATGTGACATAATATGTCGCCTAGAACGCCTTATAACATCAACTGAAACAAATCTGGTTTCATGTCATTTGGTTGGTTCATGTTCAATCACTGATTGAAGCCAGAGGCCCGGCCTCAACCAACTTAAGTTTATTATCAGTAGTTAGAGCAGACAGGCTTCCACTTCTTTTGAGTTCTTTCATAGTTGGCCTACCCTAGAGTTATGTAATCACGACTGAACATCGCCTATCTTGATTCACAGTATATCAATATTCCCCATGAAGAGATATGATATCATGTGATGTCTATAATGATCATTAAACGTGTAAGCGAATTTCAGACAGCGATGCACAAGGCAGCGTTCTTGTCATCGTTAGAAAACGTGAAAACATTGCTCGAGCTTGGTGCATCACCCAACTACCGTGATCCAATGAAACTAACCCCGCTCTACTATAACATGTTAACGGTGGACTCGAAACCGGACGTTACGGAGATGTTGTTGAAGGACGCAGCTGAGGTTTCTGTGCAGGACATGCATGGAAATCATGAAATTCATCAGGTGAATATTGAAAATGAGTATCAAATGTCAAATGTTCATGAATCGAATGATAGGGCACACATGATTCACGCTGATGCAATCACTTACTTTGTGCATTTTGGGTTGCTGACATTTAAATGTAAAATCCTTATTGCGGGATTTTGCATAGTTTTCCGGGATTTTACATCGGAATTTTCGGGAAAGCGGGATTTTTCAATCCCAATCTGTTTTTTGGATTTGGATTCGTTTATTTCAGTTACTTTATTGCTTCGTGTTTTCTGGATTTCCTTATCATTACTGCATCTTTCGAAAGGTTGTTTACTGCATATACTGATCATTCTAATCTAACTTGGCTTAATCCTAATGAACATTGTTTAGTAATTTACATATTAAGAACTGGAAATTTAGCACAATAAACGCAACCAAATTAAACACCTATGAGTGGTTCTGCTTGACATTTCAAGTGGACGCATTGAAGAACTGGCAATGAATACAGTGAAAACTGATAATTGAACGATTGATTATTTATTGTAGTGCTGACTCTCCTAGACAGATTTCAATCGTTTGGCATCGCAGAAACTTATAATAGTACAAGTAAACACGTTTGAACAGAATGGAAACAGTAAAGACAATTATTAAAGAAACAATGTTGATTATAATTATGAGAAGCGAGTAATCATATCCTCCTGAAGCAAGAAATTTAGAGTTTTCATCTAACTGTTACAAACCAGTCGAAAAATTCTTTCCATGTAACAATAATTCATAACCGTGAGAAGTGATTATTTTTGCAAGAATCAGAAATTCATAAATCTTCAAAATTCTCGTTTCATTGTTCATAATAAATATCCCGTTTGATGATTATGAGGGTTCTTATGATTGTTTTTGTTCGTCTCGTTATTTTGATTATTCATATGGCTTTTTGCTAGATCACTGTTACGGTTGTTATGCAGTTGTTTTTTTTTTGGAATCGCGAACGAGAAACAAGAATTTTCAGCATAATATAGCACAATTTCGAGGATTCCAGCACGTCCCGTTTTCTGATTGCGTTTTCGCATGGAATTGTCGTTTTTTTTTCTCATTTTTGCATCTTTCATAAATTTCAATGCGCGAATCTTATGATTTACTGCCTATTCAACTAATTCAGAGAGACACTTAAGGCATAAATCGCCGCATTTACAGATCACATCTTATTGCTGCTGTTTACTTCACTTGATGTCTTGTCATATTAATCCTCTATGCCAGCATAACTTGTCATTTTTGAGGATATGCTTAGGATAAGGAGGATATATTCACTTGTGAAAGAAGTGTTTTACCACAAATATTTTTTCATTCAGATACGCATCATAATCTCTTCATTCTCAATGCTTGAGATATCATTGAAGTTGAAATGTTGAAGTCATTTATGTCTATTCCGCCTTCATTATCTGAAGGTGGACGGCTCTACCTAGTCATTTTTATAAATTCAAGATATTTTTCGATTTGAAATGTTCGTCAGTGAACAGAAACAATTGCTTGGAAATTGGTAATAAAGTGTTCGTTTTGTATTGAATTGAAGGGTAGAGATTAATCGCTGCAAATCTCTCGGCCACTGTAGTGCCAGATGTAAATAATTCCTTCGAATTTTTCACGTCAGTTTATAAGGCTCTGAGGATTTTTGATCTGATTGATTGATTACAAACCATCTCCAGTGATCTCCAGCTCAATCCATACCGATTCTTTCTATTACTACTTTCTGATCTTCCAGAAGGTTTGGGAGTCCTATGGATTAAGGTGATAACCTTGAAGAAGGGATTTAAGATTAGACGGGCGTTTCCTCTATCAGGTGTGAAATTGGTAACACGCATGGAGACAGACGGGAGGTCATCCAATTTTATTCATCCTTATTATCGTTTCTATTAAATCTGATTCTATGAAGTCACACTTATTACTGATAAATTCTTCTAATAATGTGCATAAATTAGATTATTATTAGATTCTAGTATATAGGATAATGTAATGTTTTTTTCACTTTATGATTACTATTTTGAACTATAATAATTCGTGATTCAGTTTTTGTGCTACTTAAAGTGTTTTTTTAAAATTTCTTGATGAGTTCGAAATTGGATTATATAATGGCATTTGTTATGGTTACTTAGCGCACTGCGTTGAACTGATTTACTACAATTCATTCATTTTGGTGAAGTAGTCGTTTGTTTGAATGCTGAATTGTACTTTCTAATGACAAAAAATGTACTTTTGAAAGAAAGTACAATATTCTTTGAAATCAGCAAATTTGATCGCTTGAATCCCATCACCTTCCTTGACTTTTCTAAAGATCAGTCAATCAGTCTCATACGTTTAGCGATTAGAAATGAACTGAATGGATTTGACTCTTTGACTCAGTGTGAATAAAGAATCGCTCTTATTCAAATGTGATTCTCAGACAATCTTTTTACGACAATAAACTCCTTCAGAATAAGACTGCTCGTTGAGTGTTTTAGTATGGTGAGTCTGTACCACTTTAATGGCAATTCAAAGCTGAAAAAAGGTGAATCTTTGGCTTTCAAGGTTACTCACATGCATAGAGGTGAGGTAACTTGGCTGGTTGAGTTCATCTGAGTGGGTATACTTGAACCTTAAAAAAGCGTTTATGATTGGTTGAAGAAGCAGTCATGCAAATCTTATTTGTTGTGGTTAGTGTCGTTGTTGTGATTCGTAGTGCTGAAGAGCCAGCAGAGGATTTGAATGCGCTTTCGTTTCATTTCATTTCATTTCATATCTCTTCCTTTCTTTGATTTATTTTCATTTTGATCGACTCTGAAGTGAAGAATTCCCTCTATTGAATGTTTCGAAACATTCAATGAGTGAATAAGTAGATTTTAGAAAAGCGATTTGAAGTTTAAGTTTGCATATTTTGCGGAACATTTTCACAAATGTTTGATTACGAATGTACAGCAGTCATTCAGTTGAATCAATGACCTTTTGATAATCATTTTATAATTTTTTCCGTTCCAGCAATCCTTAATCCTATAGATGGGATAATCATTGTTTTGAGTTCATGATTTTGATGATGTTATGATCAAAAGACGAGGTTGATGCAGTTGAATTTTCGAAATTGCGAAGGGCAATTTGATTTCATCTCAGTTTTGATTTGATTCAATTATAATCACTGGTTAATTGATTGAATGGGATTAACTATTTTACTATTGATTTGAAAGAATGTTCTCTTAACAGCAATCGCGTTTGTTAGTGAAGCGTAACAGNAGAACGAAGAAATGGTTTTTTGCTAACGATAGAGGTTATGGAATTGAAGATGGAAGCAAGGGATTAGCCTTGATTTTTTGCGTATTTGAATGAATATTCTGATTTTTTATTGTTTCTCAGATTATATATAATGGGAAATTGAATATGGATGAGTGCACCTATTGTATGGTGGTTCGAATCAACAGTCATTGTCTTATGACTGGATTTTAGCGAGATTTTGCGTTTTTTTCTAAATTTTGACCATTGAAGTTTCTTTATTGTACTGGCGACATTCTGTCACTTCATCTGAATTCTCATAGATTTGAAAACTTTTTGAATACTTCAACACTTTAGGCATTTGGGAATATTTTAGTGTGTGATATATCTCAAATACTTAGAAGTTCATCTGTGATCTGAAATGTTTTCAGGCTTGTAAGAACGGTTTAATGCATCACGTCGAGCATTTACTCTACTATGGAGCTGATATTAACGCACAAAACGTCAACGGGAACACTCCACTTCACGTGTGTGCCGTTAATAATAGGTCAGCACTAGTGAATTTCTGCGGAATCGAAATTTTGAGTGTATAACGAGAATTTTCAGTTTATTCTGTAAAGTTCCAGTTTGATCACTGATCGATTTCAGTAGATGGCAATAATGTGAACAACATGAGAATCAAAATAATCATGATATTTTGTATTTTCTGCATGGATCTGGCTAAATGTGGTCTGTAATTTTCAGACCTCAATGTGCACGTGTATTATTGTTCCGAGGTGCAGATCCGGGCATTCCAAACAAACAAGGACAAACTGCGCTTCATGTGGCACATATTGTTGGCAGTGTAGATGTGGCTGAGTGCATACGCAACTTTAATCCGGCTGATGCGGGTACAGAGCATTGATTCGTTAATGATTTCATGAAAAAAACTTCCTTCCGATAGGGATCGACACCATCCGTCTTGAGGAGCTTTGACTTATATGCAATGGCGAGATATCCAGGGCTCAGAACGTAAGTAGAGGTAGGGTTGATCCGAGGATTCCCGACGGGAGGGTTCGGGAGGCTTGGGAACTTGGGATCGAGCACTTTCGACTTTTCGAGGACTTCCGACTCTTCCCCATCCTTGGGGACCTCCAGGCCCCTATGAGATCTTAGGGGCCCTGACTTCGGTGAGCACGAACTCGATCCTGCCCTAACTTTACCCAAATTAGGAGAGTCTATGGAGTGCTGTGCTGTCTTTGCATAATTTTATCGACTGAAATCCATAT